TTCTTCTTTTACCAGGAAGTTTTCCACCTGACTGATGTGGACAAAACAGGAACGCTGTCACTGAGCGAGCTGAGGAATGCATTCATAGCTTCAGGTACATTTTAGCTTGAATACAACTAAAAGAAATCCACTCAAAAAACATTTAAATTTCATCTGATAAGCACTAACAGAGGTGCAGAAGTGCACCAACAAAGGCCTTTTGGAGATCGATCTTTTCTTAAATGAGCTGTGAAACTGGAAAATCTCTCTGCAAGATGTGAACATACAAGACTCGGGTACATTTCCGTCCAAACAGGAAGCAAAAATTCAAACATTAATCATGAAATTCCCAACCTGCACCTGTGGGTGACAGAAACAAAATGGACACATGAAGTTTACCAGCAGCAAGATTTGGACACTGATAACTAAATGTAGGAGGAAAAAGTAAACATGGCTTCAATATTCCCGTGCTTACAAAAGTGCAAAGTGAAAATGTGCATGCATGTTGTAAATTATATCACCATCACTAACGAAGTTTAAAAATAAAGTATTTTTGTAAACTTGAAAAACTTTGTTTACACGTAAATGAGTGGGGCAAACACTGCAGGAAAGGTTTGTTCTGCAAAATATCCATTTAAGTTTGAACGAGGTTATAGATTATTAACACGATTTGCCTTATGGCTGCTTTAGTAGAAAGTATTTACAAACAATGTTTGATGAAGATATTTGATCTTTTGATGCATGCTCAATTATCCAGGTAGAATAATCTGAATAAGTTAAGTCAGGTCCTCTGGACGGATTCTTCTTGGTGAAATGTTTCGCAGGAGCTTCAGAGAAACTGAGACGTGTATTTTCTAACCATGACGCTTTCAAAGCTCAAAATACATTACAGCAAAGACTGGTCCATCCCAAAGATCCAGTCTCCCAGCACAAAGTAATATTGTGTATGCTGCAGTGTCAGGAGGGCTGTGATCAGTCTGACATCGGGGAAACTAAACAGCCACAGGCCAAAAGGATGGACCAGCACAGAAGATCAACATCATCAGGCCAGGACTCTGTGCTTTATACTCATCTCCAGGTCAGTGGACACTCAGGGATGAAGATGTTCACATCCTGGACAGAGAGGAACGATGGTTTGAGAGAGGAGTAAAGGAGGCCATCTTTGTGAAAAGAAACCGTCCATCATTAAACAGAGGTGGAGGCCTCCATGTTCAATGACCCCCTCTTACAATGCTGTGATTGCTAGTATCATTCAGCCCCCTGTGAATAGTAAACAACTATCAGAGCAGTAATGATCAGTCGTTAGGCTGATGGTCATCTTTTATATTGTGAACAACTAGTTTTGGCTGCCACCAGCAAACTGGTTGATCCACTATGAGAAGGTGCTATTTATAAGACTGAGTTTATTGCAGCTCCTCAGACTGACAAACTCTTTTGAATAAAAGATGAAACGTTTCAAAACGAAGAATCCGCCCAGAGGAACCGACTCAACTCTTTTAGATATTTGATCCTCCTTTGTCTGTCAGGAGACGATCATGTCCAATCAACTGATGTCCAAACAAAATAAAATATTTTTTTAAACCTTAGGTCAGGAAGTTAAGATTACTTTAAGATTAAACACAATTTCAACAGTTAAACTGAGGTTACTCAAGGCCTTAAATTAATGTACCACATGAATACGTTCACGGGAGTTTCTGAAATGTTGAAAAACGAAATAAATTCTTTGTGTTTTCTCAGAATTTAAAGTCAGCGATGAGATGCTGAACCTCATGGCTCTGCGTTACGGCGCCTCCTCAGGTCACATGACTCTGGAGAGCTTCATCAGCCTCATCCTCCGTCTGGACTGCATGCTGAGTGAGTGCAGACCCCAACTGGGTCTGATTAAAGGACCCCCCATCTTTGGATGAAGGTTCAGTCTCAAAACTTCACATCATCTGCTCTGTGTCCGCAGAAATCTTCAGACAGCTGTGTGATGGAAAGATCATGAAGCTCGTGGAGTCTGAGGTAATGAAAAGCTTTTTGTTTACGCTTTTTCTCCATTTCTTTACATATTTTATTACTTTTACTCAAATTCAAACTCAAGAATATTTACTTATATATTTACACTTTGGAAAATTAATGAATGATAATGTAGATTCATTAACAAATAATATTTTGCAATTTGTGCATTTCAGATGAACCTATCACACTTTCTTTTTAGTATTATTATGAATTATGAATTTAAATCATCTTATTTACAATATTTAAAAATTCAGTACCGATTGTCTAATTTGGACCTGCATGTGATTTTAAAATTAGATCTAGGCAAAATAAAAATTTAATGATGATATTTGAGCGGCGTTCTTTACGACGGTCTTTGTTTATTTCCAGTGGTTGTGCATTTCGATGTACACGTGAACCAGCAGGAAGACGAGCCACAAGAAAGAGATAAAAAAAAAAAAAAAAACTAAAGTTTTTGCACAAAAAGATGTAAACAGAATTAATATTGTAGCAACTTTTGCCTTATTTTTTTCTGTTTTGTTGACTTTTATATCTTTATTAATAAACTTATTTTAATAAATGCATTTTTAAATACAGTCATTTATGATTTTTACCACCTTCATACATTTGAAGGTGGTGGACATGTAAAAAAAAAAAAAAAAAAAAATCCAACACACAAGAATTTGATGTGCGATAGTGAATATTTATTGATCAGGTGAATATTTATTGATCCAGAGAAAAGAAAAACAGTTTAAGATTATTCATAAAGTGCCAGGTAGTAAATTTAAAAGTTTTTTTCTTAATATGCATTCAGTGTTTAATATATTCAACTAAAAAAATAACAGATATACCTTTTTTAAATTAATACACTTTAAACATTTGAAAATATACTGAAACTTGAGTTTTGTGCAATTGACACATAAAATAATTTAGTTAACAACTAAGTTAAAAGTTTTAGTTTATTATTTTATACATTTATCCTAAAAGTATAATTAAGTCAATAAATCAAAATACAACATTTTAATGAAAACTGAGTTATTTTCAAATTCGTTATAAATTAAGTTACATGATTTTACAACTTACTATAAAGCACAAACTGATTAAATAGATCAAAAACAAACAAAAAAGAAAAATCAACATGTCAGAATTAAAGCATAAATCGTTAAATTACTGTCAGATTTTGACCGAGTTGCTGAAGACACAGGTTCGGTTTAGGTCAACAGATGTAGAACCTGCAGCCAAGCCGTCACCAGAACCGACAGAACCGTGAATGTTGGAAACGCTCCAACCTTCAGCCCTCCATTCGTGGACGCAGCTGGAAATCAGGCACACATTTAGACATTATTTATTATAATCCATTTTTTTTTCAATTGTCATTGCTTGTATTAAAAACATGTGAAGCAGAATTCCACACATAAATAAAACAAATATAATGAAACGGTGTAAAAGATTTGAATTTCATGCACTCACCTAGTGTAGAGGTCTGGGTTGTTTTTGGGGTGGTGGTGGTTCCTACAGATGAGAGAAAACACAGTTAGTGACCTGCAGCGCCCTCTTGTGGCCACAAACATCACAGCATCAGGACCAGAACAGAACCACTGGTTTGAGGTACTGATGGAGAAACTGAAGCTTTCTGAAGTACACAGTCTACATGAAGCCATTTTGTTGTGATGGGTAAGAGTTTTGAAACATTAGATTTTATTAAATATGATAACATCTGCTGGCATTCAACATCATGTTTGCACTCAAAAGAAACAGAAAGGCACTGTAATGTAGAACAATAAAGGTTTTAAGTCCCATGTGTGAAACTCAAGGCCTGCAGGTGATATCTGGCCCTTGTCGATATTTTATCTGGCCCTCCAACATATTGGAAATGTAATTTTTTTTTAATCGCTTCTCGTTTTGTTGAAAAACTAATAAATACTGCATTAATTGCAGATGTCTCATGACAGCTGGCTAATTTGAAGCCAGAATAAAGTTAAGATTTTTTCAATAATCTTTGATTTTGATGAGGAAGTGCAACAAAGAACATCAAATGACTCTGATCAAACTCTTGAGGAACCTTCAGCCAAGAAGAGACGTGGGGTATTGACGGAAACTGGCCCATGGCTTGGACTGAATTTTTTATTTTAGCCCCCTTTTGTGAGTTTGACACCCCCTTTTTTAATAGAAAAGAAACAAAATTTTCTGAATCAAATAATGCATCCAAGTTTGCATATATAACAAGAAAAACAAAAGTGTGCTCTTGCTGAAAAAATACAAAATAACATTAAAAATACAAAGTGCAAAGTAAGCCAGTCTTTATAGTCCTTTGGTTCTTTCAATGTCTTCATTTATGGTGACCAGTCAGGTCACTATCTACCAGTTTGTTTGAGCCTTTGGGCTGGGATTTGTCATCCAGTTCTGGAAACGTGATCCTGTCTTCTCTGCAGCACTATGGGTTGAATAGTGCACCCAAACAACCAACCCTGACCGATGCTACACGAGGCTAAAACAGGGATTTCTGGACACCAGTCTGCTCGCAACCAAAGCTCTTGATTTCCACGTTTCTCAAGCTAGTTTTCAAGGCTAGTGGCAGAAGCAACCAGTAACATGGATCTCTCTCAAGCCGTGTCTCTTGACACCCCTGTTTTAAGAGCATATTGAAATGTGTGTCTGTTCTTTAATTTAAAGAAATTTCAATAAACTTGTGCTATGATGTGATTGTACCATCATAAAAGACTAACAAGAGGGATACATGTGTGTAAGATGTACGGAAATACAAAAATATTGAAAAAAATTTGGGAATTGCTTCCGTAGCTTGAGTCTGTTATGACACAATCTGGGGGTGGTTCAAATATTTTTATTTAACAAGATTATTTCAGCCTCTTCTTTGTTACCTCCTCTCCAGGCTTGAAGAGGACCCTAAGGCCCACAAAGTTGAAAGGAATTGCGGTCGTGCCTGTTTATAACAAATGCATGTAATATAATAAACCTGTGTTTTGAAACATTGTAAGAGTTCCCATGTGCT